GTTGTAGTTGTAGTTGTAGTTGTAGTTGTAGTTGTACACTTCACTTATGAAAATTATCACCTAGAATTCCTACTGATTCCTACGCACATTCCTACTTGAACAGCATCTTGGGGCTTCCAAATTCACCATGGTTGTGACATCCCCTTCCGAAGGGGAGAATCCTCCTCCTTGGCTCCTTTCAAGCAACTAAGCAATCTAACCAAGACTATTACAAATATATCGATATCCCCCACCAGCTGGTGGTTGTCTACCACAGCTGGATCCCCTGTTCCTCCGGAAGCATGACCGAGTGGTATCTTCCGGTGTTGAAGTTGTTCCCGGCATTTGTGCCGAAGAGCCATAACACCAACCCCAGCCCGTATTCAACCAAGACCTAGTGAAGAACAAGCCTGGAGTATGCTACATCATACACAGTTTCAAAGAAGATTCCCCAGTATCTCCATTCAGTTCCTTTCCAGTATTTTCTTGACCAGAAGAAGATTCCGGTCACGACGTTGACGTTGTTGTAGTTGTTTCCGGCATTCGTGCCGGAATACAGTAACACCAACCCCCCCAGTATTCAACCCAGACCTAGTGACRAACAAGGCGTGGAGTATATGCTACATTATACTCAGTTTTACAAAAGATTCCCCAGCATCTCCATGCAGTTCCTTTTCCAGTATTTTACGGACCGGAAGAGGATTCYGGTCACGACGTTGTTGTTGTTTCCGGCATTCGTGCCGGAATGCAATAACACCAACCCCAGTTACTCCAGCTGAGTGATTTACCTCAGCTGGACCCATCCCCAGTTCTCAAGGACCAGAAGCACCAGCAGTGTTTTGCAACAGCAGTGTTTTCTGGTCACGATTGTTGTTGGTTCCGACACTCAAGCCGGAATGCAATATCACCAACCCCAGCCCCCAATATTCAATCAAGACCTAGTGAAGCACAAGCCTGGAGTATATGCTATATGATCATAYATCATACTCAGTTTGAAGAAGATTCCCCAGCGTCTCCATGCAGTTCCAGTATTTTACGGATCAATCCAGTTCAGTTCTCAAGGACCAGAAGCTCTGTGCTCTCCAGTCCTGATTGTTGTTGTTTCCGGCATCTGTGCCGGAGAGCAACAACACCAACCC